TTAAGACCGAGATAGGTATCCTGGCTGGAAAATGTTATACTTCATTCAGATTATAGTTGGAAAGTAAAGGCAAGCATGGAAGTAAACCAGAACAAAAGTAGATTTCATTGAAAATTCAAATCACATACAAAAGGTGGGGCCTCAGCCTAGTTACAATTTCTTTCCAAAAGCAAAAAGAAGAAAATACAAGATTAAGCAAAGAGGTCATCAAGATCTACATCCAGTTCAACTCAGAGCCCGGTCTCAGCTGATAGCTCGGTCGTCAAGTCTTCTACCGGTGGCTCCACCCGAGCTGACAGAATAGTGGGATCATTGACAACCGGGGCATTGTTAGGCTCAGTTTCTTCTTCTTCATCCTCAGCTTAAAGAAATTTTTGTTGAATGGCAGCTGCATACTCCGCCATACAGCTCGGTATGAAGTACGGTGGAGGGTTCAGGAAAACCTCGATCTCTGGACCGTGACCGAGCTGTTCCACCGCCGCTTTCCACCCGCACTTAAAAAATAGATCCTTAGCAGCTTCACACTACAAGATGTACGTGCTTTCGCCTTCTTTATAACCCCGGTCTTCCGTGTCTTCCACCTTCTTCTCTAACTCCTTTATCTCGACATTCTTTTTCCCCTCAAGCTTGGCCAGCTCGCGCAGGTATTTGTCTTTTACCACAGCTGCAGCCTTTTTCTTATTTGCGTCAGCCGAGCTGACAAGGCCGGTCAGACGTGCCATCTCAGTTTGTAGCTCGACTATTTGCTTCTTTGACTCTTCTAGCTCGTTAGTTTTGGCATTGGCCTCTACCATGGCATGCCTTGTTGTTTTACGCAGTTCCAACACTCGTTTGTGAGCGATGTGGTTTTCTGTATGGCCTGCAAAAGGATGGTAAGAAACTTTTAAATGAAACCGAGCAGAAAGTTGTACAAATTAGAAAGGCAAGCGAAGGGTAACTTACCAACACCATTGACTTCATTGCCGACCGGATGGCCTTTAGCTCGGTCAAATGGTTGTGATGTTCCATATCAGGGGACAAACACACGCTCTTAGCCAGGTTAAAGGCGAGCATGTGGTCTTTGTCAGCCACCACTGAATCAGTATCACGGATAGCACGGTTTTGAAAAGTGATATTTGGTGCCCATTTAGAAGTGCGAGCTTGGTCAGCACGCTCCAGTTGTGGGCTCAGTAGAGAGGACTGGGGAAGGATGGTTTCATCATCTTCGTCGACAAGGCGTGGCTCAGTGATGGAAGTCCGAGCACACTTGTTTGCCCGAGATGTTGAAGGCTGATGGGTTGGCAGGGTTACCATGGCCTCTTGTGTTTAGCCGGTCGGTGGTACCTCGAGCTGGTTTGTTTCGGTAAAGAGGGCTCTTACTGCTCTCTTTTTTGACATCTCTTGCTCCGCTGTTAAGGGGACCAAATTAACTTGGGGCAAGGTTGGATCTGGTTCTAGTGAAGGCTCCAACAGGAAGTCAGTCACCCTGGTCTTTCGTCTGCTACTGTATCTATACGTCGGCTCAAAATTTAATAGCTCGGCCCAACTTCTATTGGGATATTGTAGTGCGGCGCGAAGTGCGTTTAAGTTGGGGTAGCTGTACTGGGACTTGAGAAAATTCAAATTTGCATGAAGTAAAAAGGACGACAGTTAGTACAGTTCAAGATATGAAAACCGAGGTAAAAGAAAGCAGAAAACTGAGCCGAGGTAATTATACCGGCGACTCCTTTATTCCAGTTTATTCGGTCGCCCGGAATCTAGGCTTCCTGGTCTTCGAAGTTCCCAGAAACCCAGAAGAAATCATCATCATTTACATCCTTGTCTGGGGTATTCTTTATTATCTTTTCACGCCAGCGCCTTATTCTTAAATAATAAACCCAACCATCTTCATTTGATCCCTTGGAATATTGGTGGAAGAGCTCGGCTAAACCGAGATTAAGGCCAGCCTGGCAGTTTAGCTCGGCGATGCCATTTATTATGCGGTATGAATTTGTGGAAAGCTAGGTAGGGCAGAGGTTAGTTTGTCTAAGGAACTCGCAAAAGAGAGGCTGTACATGGAATCTAAGTCCGGTTTCTACAATGGAAAGAAGGGTAAAGGGAACAAAGCCAGGGTTTCCCCAGGATGTAGTATCTAGTTCAGCTAAGGTAAGATGGACATCATCAGGGATATGGTAGTCCCTTCGAAACTCGGCCATGGCACCTGGTGAGTTTACTAAAAACCTATATTTACCCATGTGGATTTAAGTTAAGTATAAATTAACAGAGTACTAGCTCGGTGCTGAGATGACGTTGGTTATCTCGGTTGGACGCTCAAAGGAGTGCCTGGGCAACCTAGTCAGAGTCTGCAAAGTGAAAAAGAAAGGTGTTAAGCACAGATCGTTGGACCGTGCTAAAAGAAACAAAGGCAAGAAAAATGAAGTCCTAGCTCGGTTACGTGGGATACTGTCCATTCTTAGCCCAGTTTGAGCAAGGGTCTTGAGCCCGGTTGAGCATTTGGGGCAGCATTCTTAGTTCGATTTTTGTCTAAGGGAGCTGGTTTAGCCCCAAGTTGTGGCTCGGTCAGTGGTTAGGGCTTTCTAGCGCGGTATTGCGCAAACTTAAGGCAGTTCACTAGCTCGGCTAAGTAAAGCAAAAGGTACTTAGACCTATTGAAATTACAGATTCGGCATGAAGTCTTAGTTCGGTCAGTTGAAGAGTTATCTAGTTTGGCTGGGTGCACACCTAGAAGGTTCCCTAGTTCGGTTAAATCTAAACCTTGAGATTGCCCAAACAGGTTTTTAGCTAGGTCACACCACGATTCCAGATTCAAGCATTGTGATTTTTGAATCCAGAGGGTGTGCTCTTAAAAACATGAGCCTATGGTTTGGGGGTCTTGTTTTTTCTGTTCTTACCCATAACGTGTTTATATAGAGTATGCTTTGTGATATATATGTGTACGTATATATCTATATTATGTGTATTTGCAAAATGAATGGAAAGCAAGAGAAGACTGAGTCACTTACAAGTATGGAGGCAAGTTGATGAAGATCGAAGTCGCAAGGAAGAACATGAGCTTTGCAAAAAACAGTGGTTGCAAAAATGGAGGCTCAAACAAGAGAGAGAGAGAGAGAAGGTGAATAGTGCAAATGAATGATTCAAAAAGTAGGGTTTTTGCTTTGTGTAAAACTTTTTAGGCGAGACTGTTCAAATATTGCGAAGTACGAAGACGGCTGGACAACTGCATTGGGCTAATCAGAGTTTGCCACGTGTCCTTGGAATGAGAAGTGATTCAGTTACAGAGACTGAAGAGACGTTTTTGACTGGGTAGATTGGTATCCCGGTCTGAATTTAGCTCGGTTGAAAGGCTAAAGTTTTAGCTCGGCTGGTAAAAGATAATCCCTATCATGCTGCGCAGATGGAATTAAGGGGCAATTGAGAGGGTAATTTATATGTAAATTGAGCCGAGCTGGGTGATGGGCCGTTCTGTGGGCTACAGTAAAAAAGGCTGAGTAAAAGAGTTTTGTAGTTAGCCTGGTCCAGAAAGAGCTTTGTAGTTAGCTCGGTCACTACAGTCTGAGTAGTAGCAGTTAGCTCGGTCATACCACTAAGGATCGGGGTATTTTGGGCTTTTACTCAGAACCTTGCTATTGAATAGCTCGGTCCAAACACGCTGTGGATAGCGCGGTCTCAAGAAGTGAAATCGAGGTACAAGTTATAAAAGGAAGAGCCGAGCTAGTCAGAACTCGGTCAATTCTGCCAGTCTAGCATGGCTATTTTAGCTCAGTCGTTTTGTCATACGACCGAGGTATAATCATCTCACTTAGTTTAAGCAGTAAGGAGGTTGTTGAAGGATAAGCATTATCTTTCAGGAGAGTGATCCCTAGGAAGACTCTACGTGGAGGAATAAAAGTCCTACTAAGATTGTGCCACACGGAACCTATAAAAGCTCATAACATCACCTATGGAGAGGTAACACAACTTTGATTCCTGAATTCATAGAGCTTTTGTATCTATTGTTTATTGTGCTGACTTAGACATCGGAGGGGTTTTCGGCACACACCCGCCGGTTAGCTCACGTTTGTGTTTTCAAGTGACAAAGTGACAACATAAGGAGGAGCGCAAGTTTGATCAACAGGATTATACGAGAAGAATTATTTCGTGCTCGTACAATAAAGAATAATAACAATGCTAAAACATACAGAAGCAACTTGTTGAGCTCAGCGTAGTCAACTTCTTGTTGGTGTTGGGAGAGTTGGCAACTGGCTTGGGCTTCAAAGTAGTGAACACCCACATTGTTGCATTGAATGGAGAGAAGATCGTCTTCAAACTGTCCGGCTAATGGATAGAACTCGACCAGTGTCTCTGCAAGTGATTTTTTTAGCAAATCAAGTCTTTCTGCTAATGGGTTCTTACTATTTTTGCTGTTGTATTTGTTGGTTTCTGAATTTGATGACAATGATGAGTAGAAATTGATTAATGAACTGAAAACTGGAGCGTTAAATTGATCGAGAAAAGAGAGACTGACATGGCGGGGGTGGGGAGGAGTTAGGCTAGATGGCTTGATTGTCTGTCTTCTTATCACTGCAACTTGCAGTGTGCTATTTTTTCTCTACTAAACTAATAAGATTTATTTAGGTTTGGGTTTGACTACAAATCCTGAATTTATATCAGATGCTTACACCTGATACACGAGTTATATGACAAGCAGAAATAACGATTCAGAAATATTCTTTTGGTTTGGAATTTGAAAAGCAATTTTTTGATTTCATATATTTTTTTAGTGATTTTTTAAAACATTTTAATCAATTATTTTATAAAAATTACTAACCATTATAATCAATTAGACTAAATTCAGATACAATCACAAATTCAAAGTAAAAATTGAATCAATTGAAATTATAAGAACTACAATGACAGAAGGATTAAAAGTTTTTTTCCTTTCAAATCCATCATAATCTATCATGACAAGATTCTCAAATTCAATCTTAAAATTCATATCTGAACTATCATATATAAATTTAAATTAGTCTCCATGAGTAATCAGTGCCCAAAAATCCCTCATTTCACTTTCATAAATCCAAATGCAACCTAACACCATACACCAAATGCAAAACTGCAGCTCGGGTATAGACACAATGATGTTAGACAATTAAAAAGCATCTATGCTCCAAAATTCTTCTTTCCATATCAGTGTAACTAGATAAGTCTGCAAATTAAATTTTCAAATTTTTAAGGCAAAATAAACAACACAAACATAGTATACAGGTTTAGCCGTGACACAGAAAACCCAAATTAACTACTCTGTTAGATTGCTGCTGAAGAAGGCTTAAGCTTCTCTCTCATGAACTGCAGTATGTGTTCGCGTTTCCAGTTGTCAACTCTGCAATAGAAACAATATAAATAAATAAATAAATAAATCTCAAATACCATGACTGGCACATATCAAAGATCCAATTCAAACTAATATATAGGTTTTTCCGCTTCCAATCGGTAAGAGAGCTCCAAACATCATTTTCAGACTCTATTTCATGAAATGCTACCAAACCCTCCAATGCACACTATGAGCACAATCCCATCTCTGCTTAGGCCTAAATAAATGTACTTTTTGACTTTTTATGAAATATGAGTTGGGTTTGGGTTGGGTTTGAAGTGATGTGTTAGAGAGGTGATGTGACTTAAATAAGATAGTGACTTTTTGACTTTTTGTCTTTTTTGTCTCATGCCAAACTTGGCCTAGAGATTGGATTCACAAAGATTAATTAAATATATAAATATATCTTTGGGCGAATTATAAATACATCCCTTAAGATTTGCTTAAAATACGTTTTGCCTACTGTGATTTTAAAAATTACATCCCATCCTTTAAAGTTTCTAATTTCATAACAAATAACCTTCTTTTATTAATAAATCATCAAGTTCATTAATAATCTTTAATGATGTCAAAAATTTATTCAAATTAATAACTCAGGTAATTTTATCATTGTGTATGAGAGCAGTCAAAATTTTATTTTTTCAGTTAATTCTGTTAAATTAAAAATTTTGATAAGAGAATATTTGTAATTTTTTAAATCACATGAGGTATTGGAAAATTTGTATTGGGAGATTTGGTCAAAGTCCTTTCATAATAAAATTTTAATGCATTAAGGACAAACACAAAAAAATTTCCTTGAAAACTTCAACACATACTACTATTACTAAAATATTAAACTTTAAAATAAAATAACTTCAGATCTAAATATCGATTTTTAATAAAATTAGTATTTTTAAAATCATCTCTTCAAGATCTATCAAATAAGTTGACTATGAAATTTAAAAAATAATAATAATTTATTACCATCGAAATTGATGTAGATAGTAACATGTTACTCTGTTTGATAGTAACATATTACTCTATTGTCCAAGATAAAATAAAAATTTTTTTGCTTAGTTACAGTTTTCCAAAAAACACTTTTCAAAAAATTTTACTTTCTTGTTTTCCGTATTTTCTTATTTTTACTGATTTTTTTTTTATATTTTAAACAATTTTTTTTTACTTTTTAGACATACCTAACATAAATATACCTAAAAAGTAAAAAAATTGTGAAAAAAATATTTTAAAAATTCACTAAATACCAAAAATACAAAAAAAAAAAATAATAAGAGAATTCAATATATTTTTTGTATTTTTATGTATTTATTAATTTTTAAAAATATGTTTTCACAATTTTTTTACTTTTTAGATACATCTAAGTAAAGTGCATCTAAACAAATTAAAAAAAATGTTTAAAATTTTAAAAATATTCACTAAAAACAAAAAAACACGAAAACTAAAAAATTCAGTTTCCAAAAAACTCAAACCAAACACACTGAAAGATATTTTACTTTATCCTACTCAATTATGCACATCCTTAGGAGGCTTATCAAGCAAAATAAATGGGTTATCCTTTTCACCAAACAGGGTCCAATAGAGAGATTTTGGTTAAATTTTCCATTTGTATTTTACGTAAACTTCAAGGGGTGAATTTGTAATTTACACATTATAATTTTGGAATCCGGATCCTCGGCAGCCCTACCCGGTAGCCCCCCAAAACGACGTCGCTTTGGGGGTTTTTTGTTTTTGTTTTTTTTTTTTTTTTTTTTTCTTTTCTTCTTCTTCGTTCTTGCTTTCTCTCTCTTCGAACGGAAACCAGAGGGAGGGGAGGGGAGAGGGAGAAGAGGGAGGAAGGAGGAGGGAGGAGGCTGCGCAGCCGTCCGATCGTCGTCTCGCCTCGCCGGCCGTCGCAGCCGTCCGATCGTCGTCTTTTACTTTTTAGATACATCTAAGTAAAGTGCATCTAAAAAAATTAAAAAAAAAAATGTTTAAAATTTTAAAAATATTCACTAAAAACAAAAAAACACGAAAACCAAAAAATTTAGTTTCCAAAAAACTCAAACCAAACACACTGAAAGATATTTTACTTTATCCTACTCAATTATGCACATCCTCCTTAGGAGGTTTATCAAGCAAAATAAATGGGTTATCCTTTTCACCAAACAAGGGTCCAATAGAGAGATTTTGGTTAAATTTTCCATTTGTATTTTACGCAAACCTCAAGGGGTGAATTTGTAATTTACACATTATAATTTTGTGCTTGGCATAAATGAATGGACACATTACTTGACTAATATTATTATCAACATCCATTGCAGTCTGCGTCTTTTTTTTGTCTGGCGTCTTTCTTTTTTTTTTTTTCCATCCAAATTATTGGGTAAAAAGGAGATTATTATGGTTCAAGATGTGCAGCTGTAAAAGCACAGAAGAAAGATGGGTTCAAATCCAGCTCCAGATCAAGCCCAAAGCTTGGTCCTGTAAGGGTTATTGAGGCAATGTATTAAGCTGCAGGATTTGCTACCCTGGTAGCTAAGTTTTCAGCATGATCACACACCTATTACTAGCCGGGCTGCAATCTTTGCCTCCAAACTCCATTAATCAAGTGGATCAATGTTTCCAAAAGCATCACAAAACCTTAAATTAAATAGACCTTACCTTACGGTTTCCTTATGTTGCCCATCATCATCTAACATGATCAACTTTGGCGGGGAATTGAATACATATTGAACTTTGATAGAAGGGAACTTGTCCTTCTCTTCTTCGATGAAACCAACAATTTCTGGATAGAATACTAGTTTCCTCATGCAGACCTCCAGAACTGCGCCAGAATAGGTAATCTGCAATTGCACGGGGGAGTTAGATGCAGGAGATTTTTATTTACAATAGAAAAGAGTCACAACTACGAGAAATAATAAAAAAGACAGTTTCAGAGGAAATTGTGAATGGTCATATTTTTTAGTATGTTAACAGTGCCCTTAAATATTCTGTTTCATCATTTACAAAAATTGTACCAGACCATCAGCAAGGATATATGCTGGTAATACCACACAGTAAAGTGAAGTAAATATACCAGCCCTTGCAGTTACTGATGTGTGATGTGAAAATCTCAATTCATCCCAATTTGGATTCTAAAATTGGTTCAAATTCTTGACTACAGTCTACAGGTCAAATTGGTCTTCCCATGAAAACTATCCAAAATGAAGCCCAAAAAAAAAAAAAAGTCACCGATTTTGCTTAGGTGGATTATATCACTTAGTCTTAGGTGTACAATTCTCAACCTAAACATAGATATAGCAATAGAGGCTTGTATCCTACTCCAAATCCAGATCAAATACTTGTACAAAATGCCCTATTTTTTGTTGATAGATGCTGAAGACGCCAACAAAGATGGAACTTCTACTCGATTAGACTTTCATTTGAATTACAACACTAGCAGTGTACTTAAAGGTGCAGTCCCAGAAGAGGCACCCTGGCTCTAGTATGTAGCGATGAAGCTGGGAGAATTGTCTTGCAGGACCAAAAAAATTTGTGATGTTTTGACTTTTTTTATTTGTAGGAAACATGGGGTCAGGGGTCAACATTGCGTACCATATCCCTTTTTACACTTTGGGAGTTGAATCTTATACTTCTGTTAGCAACCATAAAGACCCACAAGCAACAAGCAGTACTCATATTTTAATTCTATCTCTATATAATTTTTTGCGTTATTTCCCTTTTCAATTATATATTTTACCCATCCCAACACCCTCAATTAATGGGGACCAATATTTGTTATTATCCTTTTATGTACATATATTTCTAAAGGTGGAGCATGAGAATTAAGAGGCAGAAGCATAAATAGTGATGCTTGTTAATCAATAACTGTGATAATATTTACCCTTACCCATGCCTATACAATAAATCAAGGACATTGGAGACCAGATACAGATTATCAGTGGAAAGAAAGCAGCATGATAGGCTATTTGTGAACATATCAGTCTCAAAAACCAAGATAAAGTAATGAATTTAAAGAATAATTGTCGGCTTTTAGATACAAGAAAGCATCCAATACTACTCATACCTTGCTCATGGAATCATCAGAATCCTCTGTGCAACACTTCAAACAATCAGATACCAAGTCTGCAACCAATTGAATGGATTATATTTAGTATAATATAACCAGGAAAAATAGGGAAGTTCTAAATACACCTATTTAATTTTTCTCCACACCCACCACATACATTGTAAACCTTGTACCCTGTGGAGAACAATTGTACATGTAAGTGTAAATAGAATTTTGGTGGGTGTATTTCGAAGCTTTCAGAAAAATATACAAATATATATACATAGATGAATACCCTTGTCGTTTAAAGTTAACTCTAGCATAATAAACATCAAAAGGTTAAACACCAACTACCATCTTATAAATACCGGCTGTGTTCTATGAATGCAAACCCTAAATACAGATTCTGACATGATATCCTCATAGAAAGGAGTTGGTACAGGGAAAAGAGGTTAATCACTCTGCAATACTATGAGTTTTTGAATTCACAATGAGAGTCAAGCAAATGAACCTACATTTAAATCAATGCAAGTTTTAACATTCAAAATTCAATCTTTCTTTTTCAACATTCATGTGTTAAGTCAAAATTATTTTGGGTCTGACCAATTTCAAGCCCGATCGAGTCAACAAACACAAGCCAAATCCCAAATTCTCACATCAATTTTACCACAAAAAAATAAAATTAAATTAACACCTAGAGAGAGAGTGGAGAGAGAGAAGAATAGTAATACCTTGATTTTTGACATACTCGGCGAAGGTGTTGCAGTCGGAGCAGAGAGCGAGGCCTGTAAACCCTAAATCCTCACACTCTTTGGTGCTCAGGCGCTCTGATCTTGAACCAAAAGGTATCGCAAGCACTACCGCCGCGTAGATCAACAACATCATACCCATCTCTCTCTCTCTCTCTCCTCTCTCTCCCTCTGACTAGCGACAATGTGATCAGGATAGAGGAATCAACGGAAGAACAAACACGGTGATGATAACTATAGATTGCAATTTTTTTTCGTAAATTACACTAACCACCCTCAAGTTTTAATAAATTAGATAGATTACACAGCATCAAATTTTTAACATAATTATACCATGCTCTCATAAAATAAAAAATGATCCATTCACCAATTTTGAATTCGTCTGAATTTTGTAAGCTGAATGACCAACCGAACAATGGTGCAACCCTTATCAATCGGTGTTGTCATCCTCATCAACCATGATTGTTGACATCAGTGGCCCCATAGAGGCTTTTGGTCCACCATTAGAGCCCAATTCACGGTTTAAACACTAAAGTCCAACACCATTAAAAACCCAACGTTGCACCAGGAACCAACGGCGTCTAAACACTTGTCAAGAGGAGAGCCAGCCACGTAAGCAGACAAAGATCCTGCAGAGTTATTACACCACACATCAGCCATTAATGAAGCTTCTGCAGCATTAAATGCGATAACCCTTTCACGACGAAACGAGCAGCCTCACTATGAACAAGGCAAGCTAGAGCATAGACTTTCAGCCAACGTGACAGGTCGGAGTGGATAAGAAAATGATAGACAAAGGATATAAGGAGGCTTCTAAGACAGACAAAAGGTTAAGTTCTCTATCATTATTCTCTCTTTACACACCATTAACCACTCTCTCTTCTAACTTGATCGTCGGAGGGTCCGTTAGGGGACTCCTGTTCCCCATTGGGCTTTTATGCCGGTACTTCAGTGGGCTTAGTAATCGAACAACGGTGTTGGAAGCGTGGGTCAGTCCGACTCGTCCTCTAGGGATCAACAGTATCATCAGTTAACGCCGTCTGTGAGAAACACCACTCTGGGTAACAGTTGTGCTCATTGTTGCCGGAAACCCGTTTCCGATAATTCTTTCTCGCCGGCCCTCAAGGTGGATGGTCATAACGAGATCCATGGTTTCTTAATACAACGTCGTCGACCCCTAAGCCGACCCTAACAACTCATCTCAGTACTTCACAAAACTCACCAACAGTATCAACCGCTTGGCCGAGCAAAACCAAACCTTAATCAACGCTTTGCTCTAGTGAAACCTCCATATACCTCCTCCATCACCACAAGATATCCCTCTCAATCGAGAACGAACCCCGAGTCATCCTTTCCAACAAGCCCACCTCTTCAACTTAAAAGGTCAGCAAGCCCCATCCCAAGACATGAACCCGCCACCTCGAGGTTTATATCCGTCCGTTCAAACATCTGCCTCTAAAGGAGAGGCCAGTAGTGTTCAACCTCCACTACACTTTGGAGGTGACAATGTTCCTATTTGGGATGCAGAACTTCAAGCCATGAAACTCCAGCTTCGACGAGTCATGCATAACATACAGAATAAACCCTCCACAATAGCCAACTCTTCGTTTGTTGCCTCCATCAGGGACAAACCCCTACCCCCTAAGTTCAAAATGCCCTCGATCGACTCTTTCGACAGCACAACGGACACGGTTGACCATTTGGAGACTTACAGGACCCTCATGATCCTCCATGCTTTTTCTAATGAGATAATGCATGGAGCTTTTCCCGTGACGCTTAAAGAGTCGACTCGACTATGGTTTAGTCAGCTGCCGTCGGAGTCTGTCTTTACTTTCCAGCACTTAAGCGATTCCTTTCTGAGCCATTTCATTGGCGCTCAGCGCCAGCAGCGCCCAGCAACTTAACTTCTTAATATCCGTCAAACGGAAGAGGAGTCTCTACGTAGCTTTGTCACCCGTTTCAACACCGAAGCCCTATAGGTGGCGAAAAATGATGACAAGGTTATCCTCACAGCTTTTATGGCCGGTTCACAACCATCCGATTTCCTTTTCTCCCTTTCCAAAAGCCCTCCAACCTCCATGGCCACCTTTTTTTCCAAAGCCCAAAAATATATGAACGCCGAAGACTTTTTGGTAGCTTACCAAGATACTACAACTAAAAATCTAACCCCCATGGAGAAAATAAAGGAATTTGAAACCAGACCCTCCCAATATACACAGCAAACCCCTTAGTATATTGACCTACTCCCTCGAGCCGACCGACCGGCACCTACCCGACCGCCCAATCGGTTCGAGCGGTACACTCCCCTCAATTCCCCCATGGAACAAGTCTTGAACCAGATCCAATGAGATTATAACCTGAAATGGCCCCAACCAATGCGGTCTCCTTCTAACCGGTAAGATCAATCCAAGTACTGTCGTTTCCATCAGGACCACGACCATAACACCGAGGAATGTGTTAACCTTAAAAACCACGTAGAGGATTTGATACGACAGGGTCGCCTCAGTCGGTCCACGACAACCCATCCCCAGCAGCGACCAAGGATCGACCCCTCAAAGGGGCACCGCCGACATACACCTCCCCGACAACCCGCAAAACCCAAGCAGGACAATGATTGGCCCTCACCACAACCCCGAGCACAAGGCAACTCTACCTCCCCGGTCGGAGAGATCAGAGTCATCACTAGCAGGCTCGCATGTGGAGGTCCATCTTGTTCGGCCCAACAAGCCGAACTCAGAAAAATCAGACAAGGCTCCGATAAGGAAGTCGCGACATTGGATCACCCTTTCAAACACCCCAAGCAGTGGACTAAACCCGTCACCTTTACGGAGGTCGGCTGCACAGGCATCCGTTACCTCCACAACGACCCCCTCGTCATTTCTGCTCTCTTATCCAATTACAAAGTCAGACGGGTGCTTGTCGACAACGACAGTTCTTCAGACATCATCTTCCTGAACGCCTATCGCCAGTTCAAGGTCGGAGAAGAAAAATTGTCCCCTCTCCAGACCCCGCTAGTCGGCTTCATGGATGATCAGAAGACCTCCATAGGCTCCATCAATCTTCTCATCACCATCGGAGAGTATCGACAGTAGACCACCAAGCTACTCACTTTCATTGTCGTTGACTGTTCTTCCGCTTATAACATAATCCTCGGACGCACAACTCTTAACGCTTTTTAAGCTGTCACCTCCACATACCATCTAGCCATGAAATTTCCCACCAATCTTAGGGTAGGCACCGTGAGGGGCGAGAAGATGATGGCCAGAGAAATGCTACGTCGTCTCACTAAAAGAGATCAAGCTGAAAGAGACTATGATCATCGAAGAACTCGACGTCAGAGACGAAGAAGAGTTAGTCAGAGGGGAACCAGTGGAAGAACTTGTCGAAGTCCCCATCGATCCTACCAACTCAACCAAAATAGCCAGGATCGGCAGCCAACTATCCTCTCAAGCCAAGGCCGACCTCACAGCTCTCTTAACCGAGTACAATGATGTGTTTGCCTAGACCTATTCTGATATGTCGGGCATCGATCCCTCTTTCATCACTCATCATCTCAATATCGAGCCCCACTTCCGACCTTTCCACTAGAGGCAGCGTATCTTTCACCCGGAATACAATGCCCTTATCGCCTTTGAGGTAGACAAACTACTGAAGGGGCAGTTCATAAAAAACGTGGACTACACCAAGTGGCTATCTAATGTAGTCTTGGTCCGCAAAAATAATAGTAAATGACGACTCTACGTCGACTATTCTGATCTTAATCGAGCTTGCCCCAAAGATAGTTATCCCCTCCCCCGGATAGATCTGTTGGTCGATGCCACTGCCGAACATCAGATGCTTAGTTTCATGGATGTCTTCTCCAGCTACAATCAAATTCTTATGCACCCGGCTGACCAGGAACACACCTCCTTCATCACAGATAGAGGAACTTATCACCATTGTCTTATGTCGTTCGCCTTGAAAAATGCACGAGCAACTTACCAACGTCTGGTCAATGCCGTCTTTCACCACCAGATAGGCCGGAACATGAAAGTCTACGTCGATGACATGCTAGTCAAGAGTAAACTCTCCTCTGATCATTTGGTAGACCTACGACAAACCTTCGAAACCTTACGCAAATATCAGATAAAGCTGAATCTGGAGAAGTGCTCCTTCGACATAGGATCTGGGAAGTTCTTGGGCTTCATGGTCAGCCAATGGGGCATCGATGCTAACCCCGAAAAGATTAAGGCCCTGATAGAAATGCAGTCTCCCAGAACGGTCAAGGAGGTTCAACGGCTCATCGACAGAGTTGTCGCCCTCAACTGTTTTATTTCCTAGGCAACAGACAAATGTCTTTCATTTTTTAAAGTCCTCTGATAGGCTTTTGAGTGGAACACTGAATCTGAGGAGGCCTTTCAACAACTGAAGCAGTGCATGGCCAACCCCCCCTCCTCTCTCAAGCGCTCTCAGGCGAAACCTCTTCCTCTACTTAGTTATATCAAACACCGTAGTCAGTGCTGCCCATTAGGGAAGATAGCTTAGTACAGCGTCCAGTCTACTACATTAGCCGCGCTCTCAGGGGGGCAGAACAAAACTATCCTCTGTTGGAAAAATGGCCTTCGCCTTGGTCATAGCCTCAAGGCGACTCCGACTTTATTTCCAAGCTCATGCAACACTACATTAGCCGCGCTCTCAGGGGGGCAGAACAGAACTATCCAGTCTTTGAAGAAGGTCATGCAACAGCTAGAATTGTCGGGCAGAATCATGCAATGGTCCGTCAAGCTCAGTCAATTTGAAATCTCTTACCGACCTTGAACAACGATCAAAGGACAGGCCGCCACTGATTTTATCTTGGAATTCACCAATCTCACTTCGAACGTGCCTCCTCCGCCAACGCAATTCAGCACTAAGGTAGAAGACCCCCATTCTTGAACCCTTAGTGTTGATGGATCATCCTGTAAGGAAGGTAGTGGGGTCGGTCTCATCTTCACCGCCCCCGATGTGGGTATTTCAAGTGTGCCCTCTGTTTCCTATTCGACGTGAGCAATAATGAAGCCAAATATGAGGCCTTGATAGCAGGTCTTCGACTGGGCAGAGACATTGGTGTAAGCCATATCCAAGTGTTCAGTGATTCCCAATTGATCGTCAGACAGATTACTGGGGAATTCGACGCAAAGGAAAACACGATGCGAGCCTACAAGGACATTGCACTCCCTCTTGTTCGCCTTT